CGGCGCGCAGGGCGCGAGCGGGAGAGCCGCGCCGCCCTGGCATTGAGTCGGGCTGGGCCGACTCAAGTCCCCTCTCAGACTCGCCGTCATGGGGAGTAGAGACTGGGACTGGGACACGCCCCCCTCCCGGGGCACTCAGGGAAGTTATCTAACCCGGGGGCAGGGAGCCCCGAATTTGAGGGTGACCTGACATAACCTGGCACTAGGATGATTGTTCTGAATGAGACACGCGGGCTCCGGAGGCAGCTGTTTCCACTCTGAAAAACATCTCCAGAAAAGCTCCCAAAGCACATCTCTGGGAAACAGCACCTCTGTTACACCTCTAAACAGCAGTAGAAGGTGACAGTAGAAACTGACTGGTAACCTTTGCTTCTGCAACCACCGTCTCTGCTAAAATCTCAAGGCCAGAATATAACATCCCAGGGGAGCTCTGGAAGCTGGGAAACTATAGAACTAGGGTGGGGGGCGGTGGTTAGGGAGAGGAGAGCCAGTGGCGACTCAGTTGGAAGAGCTGGAGTCAAGAAGCTTGGAAGGGGTGCCCAGTGGTTTCCTATCCAGGTGTCTCAGGGATATGGAGACTAGGAGCACACCTGCTAGAGTCCTTGATGGAAAAATAGGTGAAGAAAATGGGGATGGTTCCTCAGCATCCATAACCTTCTCCTCCCATCCTACTTCTGGCTAGGCCCCCCCCAGGATGCAATGGCACAGCCCCCTCGGCTGAGCCGCTCTGGTGCCCCCCAACTTTGGGACCCAGCTTCCCCTGCTCCCACCTCAGGCCCCAGGCCTCGACTATGGGAGGGTCAAGATGTGCTGGCCAGGTGGACAGATGGGCTGCTATACTTGGGGACCGTCAAAAAGGTAGGACACTTGACCTCTGACCTGTCACCTTTTCTCCATTCCCCTTATCTAGTTCTGACTCCCATTTGACCTTCTGTGCTCAACCATTCCAGGTGGACAGTGCTCGGGAGGTGTGTCTGGTCCAGTTTGAGGATGATTCCCAGTTTCTGGTTCTATGGAAAGACATCAGCCCTGGTGAGACCCTAGAGGCCTGAGAGTGTGCATCCCATGGAAAACAGAAATTGGGCATGTGGGACCGAAGAGGGCTTAAGAACAGGCCCCTGACACTGTGTTCCCTCATAGCTGCCCTCCCGGGGGAGGAACTCCTCTGCTGTGTCTGTCGCTCTGAGACTGTGGTCCCTGGGAACCGGCTAGTCAGCTGTGAGAAGTGTCGCCATGGTGAGAGGGCAGGACACCTGAATGGTCCAGCTTGCCCTGGGCCTTCCAGGATGCCTCTGACCCTTCCCTACAACACTGTCCTTACACCACCTGTCCTGGCCTGAGTCCCCAAGCCACTGCTCTGACTAGTCTCCCCAACCCTGTAACCTCACTCCTTTCCAGCACAGGGAGAGGTAGTCATGGGATCGAGATGTGTGAGCTTTGTGGGCAGAGAGTAGTTAAAATACACCCTTTTCTAACCATATGACCTTGGACAAGGCCCTAAACCCCCTAGGAGCTTCAGTTGCATAAACATAATACACTTACCCTAGCAGGACTGTGGTCAAGGATGAAATGAGATGGATAAGACTCTTCTGTCCCAGTGTCTAGCACATACAGGTATGCAATGCAATGAGTGGTCTACCATCAATACTATCATTATTCAGCTTACCACCAGGACTGCCACGTTCCAAGGGCCCCAGCCCCTGGAGAGGGAGAGGGCACATCCTGGGTCTGCCGCCAGTGTGTCTTTGCCATCGCCACCAAGGTAAAGGCACCTTCCTGTGGGAGCCTCCCACCCACAGCCTCTCCCAAGCCCTTCCTCCCCCCACCCCTCTGAAGCAGTCTGCTTGCTCCATTTCTGCAGAGGGGAGGTGCACTGAAGAAGGGCCCCTATGCCCGGGCCATGCTGGGCATGAAGCTTTCTCTGCCATATGGACTAAAGGGGCTGGACTGGGACGCTGGACATCTGAGCAACCGGCAGCAGAGCTACTGTTACTGTGGTGGCCCTGGGGAGTGAGTAATGAGGGGTGGGGGTTAAGGAATGAAAGATGAGGGTGTGGATCCTAGGGAATGAAGGAGAAAGAACAGGGTGAGGGGAGTGCTGAAGGGGGTGGGAGGAGGTAGTGAGCAGGGTTTGGGGCAGTTGGGGGGGTGGTGTTTGGAGCTCAGGAGTCCTGTGCTTCCCCTCAGGTGGAACCTGAAAATGCTGCAGTGCCGGAGCTGCCTGCAGTGGTTCCACGAGGCCTGCACCCAGTGTCTGAGCAAGCCTCTCCTCTACGGGGACAGGTGAGTCAGGGGGGCTCTCCCTCCCACCCCATAACCACTCTCTCCCCAACATCTGAAGCTTTGCTTACCTGTTCGCCCCACCCTTGCTCAGGAGTCCTCCACAGCACAGTGTAGTTTTCCTGGGTAAGGTGCGTTCTCTCCCTCTTGCCCACATCCAGGTTCTATGAGTTTGAATGCTGTGTGTGTCGGGGGGGCCCTGAGAAAGTCCGGAGGCTGCAGCTTCGCTGGTGAGCTGGATGAGGCACTACCTCAGCGTAACTCCTCTCTCAACACCCCCATGATTTCACCTTACGCACCCCAGCTCCCTGCCCTGGACCCCCCCTGGCTTTTGTAAACGCTTCCACAACCTTGACAAACCAATATTTCTCCAGGGTGGATGTGGCGCATCTTGTCCTCTATCACCTCAGTGTTTGCTGTAAGAAAAAATACTTTGACTTTGACCGTGAGATCCTCCCCTTCACCTCTGAGAATTGGGACAGTTTGCTCCTTGGGGAGGTAAGGGGTAGTGGAGCTCTGGGGGTTCGGGTGGAACAGGGAGATGTGAAGAAAAGGGGGAGGGAGGGATCACTGCTCCCCTGACCCCATTTTCCTTCCCCAGCTCTCAGACACTCCCAAGGGAGAACGTTCTTCCAAGCTCCTCTCTGCTCTCAACAGCCACAAGGACCGGTGAGTTGGAGGGAGGCTCAGAGATGGACAAGTGGATATGGAAGCCTGGGACGGGAGGGGCTGCCACCCACCTGGGAGATCATCTCTGAAAAGGACTGAGGAACAGTATATTAGAGGGTCCCTTTTCTATAGCACTGACCCTGTATCATTTCTCTCCTCACCCCAGTTTCATTTCAGGGAGGGAGATTAAGAAGAGGAAATGCTTGTTTGGTCTCCATGCTCGGATCCCTCCCCCTGTGGAGCCCCCTACTGGAGATGGAGCCCCCACCAGGTCACTGGTCCAGGGGGGATGGGGAAGTTCTCAGGGTCTATGTATGGAAATGGGGAGGTCTTTGGGGTGTCCGGGAGGGGGCTGGGGGGATAAGGAGGCCTCTTACAGCTTCCCTTCAGGGCAGGGCCCTGGGGGAGGGGTCTCACGTCCCCTGGGGAAGCGCCGGAGGCCGGAGCCAGAGCCCCTGAGGAGGAGGCAGAAGGGGAAAATGGAGGAGCTGGGGCCACCCTCAGCAGTGCGCAATCAGCCCGAGCCCCAGGAGCAGAGGGAGCGGGCTCGTCTGCAGAGGGCACTGCAGGTACAGGGGCAGGGGAACCCCATGGGGCAAATGGTGGTGTGGGAAGGAATCAAGGATTATCTCTCAGTCCTTTGCTCCTTTTAGGCCTCAGTGTCTCCACCACCCTCCAGTCCTAACCAGAGTTACCAGGGCAGCAGCGGCTACAACTTCCGGCCCACAGATGCCCGCTGCCTGCCCAGGTCAGTGCTCCTCCACCCTCCAACCAGATAAGCTCCCTCGGAACCTCTCTTCCAATTGTCTACATCTTCTTCTGGACTTTCTCACTCAGAATTCTTTTCCCTCTCCCCTTTGGTTACCCACTTCTTGTCCTAGAGAGACTTCTAGAACCAATGTCTGCTTCCCAGTATCCTGGGGATGGGGGTTCCTTGAGGGTAGTGTTTGAGCTCTACCATTCTCAGGGGGAGAGGGTCCTGTTCCCCTGCTTCTGGTCCTGACTTTCCCCTCCCCAACCCCAGCAGTCCCATCCGGATGTTCGCTTCCTTCCACCCCTCTGCCAGCACCGCAGGGACCTCTGGGGATGGTGAACCCCCAGACAGGTGAGATTCCACCCCTTTATCTCTGATACTCCTCTTCACCTCTGTGTTAAGTTCCTCAGTCTCTAACCATTTTTTTGTTCCTCTGAGCCACACATGGCCTCCATTTCTGGTTAATCCTTATCTATGCTGGACTCATAATTTCCTTCTCTCCCTAGGTCACCCCTGGAACTTCACATTGGTTTCCCCACAGATATCCCTAAAAGTGCCCCCCACTCGATGACTGCCTCATCTTCCTCAGTCCCTGCCCCCTCCCCAGGTCTCCCTAGACGCTCAGCACCCTCTTCTCCCCTGTGCCGAAGTTTGTCTCCTGGGACTGGGGGAGGAGTCCGAGGTGGGGTTGGCTACCTGTCCCGAGGGGACCCGGTCCGGGTCCTTGCTCGGAGAGTACGGCCTGATGGCTCTGTGCAGTACCTGGTTGAGTGGGGAGGTGGGGGCATCTTCTGAACAGCCTGCCTCTGCCCACTTTCCCATTCACACACACCGGCACTTTCATACCCTGACCTCTGACCTCACCTACAGCTGGGATGTACCTGGGGCAGTAGGAGGTACTTCTCCCTACTGCCCAGGCTGGAATCCAGGTAGGGGGTTGGGGAAGAGGCTCTCTCTTCTCTACTCCCTTCATGATTCCTGACCCTTCCCCTCTCCCTCTTCCCATTTCCTTTGATGTTATTTTGTTACAGCTTTTTAAATATTTTTTAAAATTATTTAACCCTTGGGGATGGAGACTGAGGAAGGGGGATGATAAAGGGTCCTGGGCTCTGTATGATTGAAATAAAGATAAACAAACAAGCTTAGCAGCTCTGAGTCATTCTGAGAGATGTAAACGGAGGGGCTAGAAGCACTTCTAATCCTTCCAACCAAATTCATTTCTTGACAAGGAATAAGGCACAGAGAACTAAAGATAGGATTTATTTAAGGTCCAGTCATCACCTGGAAGTCAGAGGGCACTGAAGTATATGAGGGGAACATAACAAGAACAGGGCTCATTATGGTAGGGCTGTGCTGGAGTCAGAAACTGACTCTGTAACCTGGCGCACCCAATGCAGGTACGGGGAGTTCCCCTGCTCCACAGGCAATGCAATCACCTCAGCCACTTCGTAAGGGTGCACAGAACTGCAAAAAAAGATGAGGATGGGTGGGGAATCGCTCAAAGGTTTACCTAAAGGAGTCCCCCCTCAGGCTCACCCAACAAGGCTCACCCTCACCTCTACCCATCTCAAAAGTTCTCACCGAACAAAATCTGTCAAAGCTGGAACCAACGAGCTTTGGGTTTTAATCATCTAAGGGGTGAAGACAAACATGGTTGAAACAAGGGGTGGAGTTGATTTCATGATCTCAGACGAGGGAAAGGGGTGAACGTAAGTGGTCGTGGAATTAGGCTTTTGTTGTGTGGGGGGACATTTCTCACCATCAGCACTTCACTGTCCTCCTCAATCTTTCCTTTCCACTCATAGCTGAAAAGGTCAGGGAGAGAACATTGTGGAAGCAGATTTCCCCCAACGAAAAAGACTGCCAGTCAGCCCCTTGAGTTAGGTTAACCCCCCAACTCCTGTGACTCACATGGATGTAATCTGAGGGATGAGGTTGACGCAGGCTGCCAGGCGCTTCTCCACCACAGCCCTGAAGATTAAGAGACAGCCCATTCAGAGCCCCCATGACCCGGATTTTTGCACTAGCAGCCCAGAGACAGGCAGGAAGCAGCGGGAGGGCATTCTTCTCCCCCACCCCCAACTCTCCCTTCATGAGCATCCTTCCTCGCTCCACACTGAGATCCCCACCTGGCGATCTCCTTGGCGACCTTCTCGTTGGGGCAGGTGACAAAAGCTGCAGATACCGAGCCAGGAACATAGGCGGAGCCCGAGGCCGGTGAGGGCTGGGACGGGGGGCTTCCTGAAGCCATGGACAGCAGGGCTCGGGGTAGCAACAGAAGGCGGGAGACCACAGGCAGCAGCGCCGGCATCCAAAGAAGGGAGAAGAGCAGAGCGGCCTGAGAGCAGGAAGTGAATTCGGTGTCTCCCCATAAATACCCCAGGAAATTGCACCTCGGGGACCCTTCGCTTGGATGGACACTCAGTCTCTGCCCTCCCTCGTCTGCACCCCGAAGGAAAAGGTTCCCGAAGCTGCGAGAGTAACCCGGAATATTAAAGCAAAGACTAGGTTTTCACTTCCTCCTTGGGGCCAACCTCGGGTTTTGGATGCGGGTGGTGGTCGAGGCTTCCAGTACCGGAAGGGGAGGGGCGGTCACTCACCCCTCCGCTGAGCAGGATTGTGGGAGCCCGCCCCCACCTCATGCAGCCTATGCTGGTAGAGGAGGGTTGAATATCAAAGACTACACATTACGCCGAGAAAGGACCCCAAACCCAGGAAGAGCGGCCTCTTCTTACCTGGGCGGCAGCCACGTGACATGAAAACAGCGCAGACCACGTGACAGTAGAAGCCGGACCACCCTAACCTCCAGAGCCCGCCAATCCTGGCCCTTATGTGGCCCGGTGTGCCCCGCCTCCTGGTGAGGGAGGAGCAAAGAGGGACCCAGCCAACCAACAGCTGTATCCGAAGACGTGCCCGGAAATGGCTCACCTATTTCCGTGTAAACCGGAAACGGCCAATTGCCGACTGAGCAGAGCCGCAGCTGCGTTCCACTGTCACGTGAGGGGGCCGGTCCCTTCAGGCGGCAGTACCTCAATGAGCTACGGGAAGAGGCCAATCGCCGGGTAGCCCTGCAAGCCACGTGATGAGAGAGCTGGAGCTAGGAAAGGGGGGCTGGAGACCCCGCAGAGTCGATGTGTCAGGTTGTCGAGTAGGGAAATCATCCTTAAACCCCAGAATGTGCCTAGTAACAGCCCCTACACTGTTCTTGAAGGCCTTGAGGAATGAGAGGGTCTTAGGAGATTGAACCTTAGGGGTTGAAGAGAGCGCCCCCTGCAATTTTAGGACTGACAGATGCCTGGGTTGGGGAATGCATGATGATAATCTGAGAAGGCAGCTGTCCCTGGTTGGGGGGAATTGATTAGGCAGGCATTGCATGGCAAGACCATGGCTAGGTGAGGAAAGGCATTTTAAAAGGACAGAGACCCTGTAAATGAGATAGAGGATGATTTAAATGGGGCTGAGAGCGCCTCAACCTTAAATGAAACCCCAAAGCTGGAGACAGTCTAGTGACTCCGTGGGGGTGGAGAGGGTAGAGAGGATGGCTGCAGGTTTGGGATATGAATAGGACACCAGGAAGTAATGATGGTCCTTTTGTCCCTTATCCCCTTCCTAGTTCACTCTCCAGGACTGGTCTACCTCTCATCCTTGGGTCTCCTTCCCTTAACCCATCCCCCTAGGAGCCAGGACTTGCCCTACATAACCTCCCTGGGGCCCAAGCACGTCCTGTGACCCAAAAATGGAGAGAGGGGCCAATGAGAGGAGACAGAGGTGGCAGGAGGCAGCAAGAAAAAGGCTCTTGCCACTCCCCATACCCGGTACTCCCCCTCCCTCCTAGGTCTGGGGTCTCTGGTCTGTTGGGTGGGTATGACTGGGCATTTCCCAGGCTGATGTCAGAGTTCTCTCATCCCTACCTCTCTGGGGTTGGGGTCTCCTTGAGACCTCTGTCTTTGGCTTTGGAGTTTGTTTCTTAGATCTGTGGAGTCTTTCAGTATTTGCATTGGGATCTTTTTCAGGACTGAATTTCCTTGTTTTTTGTTTCGGGGGTTTCTGGGTCCGCAATCACCCTCTCTCTGAGGTCTTTCAAACTCTTCTTTATGAGTTTGGAGTCTTTGAGTTCTCCTTCTTTTGGCTAGCTGAGTGTCTCTTCTGCACCCCCGTCCAGGTCTGGAGTTTCTATGTCTCTAAGTGATCAATCTCTGAGACTGCAATTTCTTTTCTTTGGGATCTAAGTCTGGGGTCTCTGATAGCTCTCTCTGGGTCTGAGTTCTCGAAGACCTAATTCTAGGTCTGGATTCTTTCTGAATCTGTGTCTTATCTTTCTCTTTGAGTCTGGGTCTTAGGTCTTGGTCCCTGAAATCACTGAGTCTGGAGTCTAAGATTTCTGTGGCTATGGAGAACCTTTTTGAGACTGGGTGCTCAGATTTTGATCTTTGACCCATCTTTTCGGGTTGGGGGTTCCTGGATCTTTTTTCCTCAGATTGGGGTCTCTTTTCCTCTGGACTTTGGGTTTGTGCCTCATATTAACCGTCCCCTCCCCCAGGCAAGATATTTTTCTCTGTGGGTCTGTGGTCTCCCTGTCTCAGGGTTGGGGTCTGCATCTTTAGAACTGCGCGCTCTCTCTCTCTCTCTCTGGTGTGTTTTTGAGTCAGGGGTCTTTCCCTCTCTAGTTCTCTCTGAGTAGGGGTGGGGGCTGCAGAGTCTCTCTCCTCCTCCTCCTTCTCTCTCCTCTCTCGCTCGCTCCCCCGCCCCTCTCTCTCTCTC